TGCCCACTGCCACACCTGTCTCATCTTCACACAGTCCCAGTAGGGCACAGGGGTGACCAGACGTTTCAGCCAAGTCGCTGGAGCCCATCTCCGCCCTAGTGGTTTCTCTGGGTGCTCTCGCTAGTTTGATGTCCTGTGGCAAACACGGCCCATACTCCTGTGGCTTTTCCCCGAATTTATTCCCTGGGCTTTGAGGAGTTTTGATATCCACAGACACTGCTTACCGAAGTTTGCAAAGGCCAGCAGCGCCCATGGGACCTAGACGTTCTGCTCTTGGAAATGCCTTAAAGGGACTTGGGGTCCCTAAGACATCACAACTGCACCCTCAGGCTACCGCTTTGCCTAGCCATGTCTGCCTTTTCAAAGGTACCATCTTTCAGAATCATCTGACCTTGTCAGCACTCTTAGACTTGGGCAGTTTCTGGAGTTCATCGGTCCTGGTGCCCTGTTCATGAAGTGTGACCTTGTGTCTTTCCTCGGAAACGGGGTGCTAAAGTCAGAGAAGGACTTTCCATCAGCGATGTTCCCCTCCCCTCAGTTCTGAGGCTAAAAGAATAGCTGGGAACAGATTTTTGTCCTAGAAAGGGATCTCTGTACGGGAGGAAAGATAAGATTCCTCGGCCATCGGCCACCACAGAGTAGAGTCTAACTTGGCCAAAGACGCAGAGCAAGTCCCCTTCTACACACCCACCCCCATGGCCAAAAGCACAAGGCTCCTTCCCTCAGCTTCCGCATCCACGTTGATGTTTCCAGGCTCATGCCGTGGAAAGCACTTGGTATTCAGAACTGGAGGATGTGTGCTTGGCTAAGTTTCTCACAATTCTAGCCAAGTGACTTCAGGGAAGCACTGTAAGCCAGTGGGCACATGGTAGGTCTCTGGAGCCAGTCAGCCTGACCCCACCACTTACCAGCTGTGTGACCTTGGCCGGGTTACCTAGATTCCCTGTGCCTGCTTCTCAGCTTGTTATGTAGATAAAATCCTCATGAATAAACCAAAGTTTCTGTCTCGGTGTCCATGTAATTACCCGTTATTGCATCACACAGAGCTGAATAACTCAGTTGTACCCAGCGAAGAGGTCGTGTTTGGTAACAGGTTTTCTGGTATATAAGAAATTAATTTGGAAAGAAGAGAGGAAGCTCTTGAGGGAACCTCAAAGGAACAGGCAATTCTCCTCCAGACTGGTTGAAAAAGAGACCCCAAAAGAGTAGAAAACAACAAAACAGAGCACCCAGGAGCTGTGCGACAGCAGCAGGTGGTCTAACGTGTGTGTGACTGGGGCTCCAGGTGTGAAAGGGGGAGGGGGCAGAAAAAATATGTGAACAGCTAATGGCTAAGAATTTTCCAAAACTGATGGAAGATAACAAACTACATATCCAAGAAGCTCGAAGAACCGCCAACAAGAGGAAAAGACATACTTCCTACACGGTCATAAGTGGACATATTACAGAGAACCTTTTTTAAATCAAAGAAAGATAAAGGGAAAATCTTGAAGGAAGCCAGAGAAAAAGAAACATTACATATAAAGCAATAAAGATAAGAATTATCACAGGCTTCTAGTCAGAAACAATGCAGACTACAAGATAGGAGAGAGACATCTTGAAAGCACTGAAAGCAAAACTGTCCGTGCAAAATTCTACACGCGGGGGAAATACCTTTCAAAACCAAGTTTTTAAAAATATGTTTTCAGAGACACATACACACAGCTGAGAAACTTAATTGTCAGCAGTCCTCCCTAAAAGAAACGTGATAGGCACTTCTTCAGGCAGGAAGAATATGATACCAAATGGAAATCTGGATCTACACAACCAAATGCAGAGTATTGGAAACAGTAAAAATGAGGATAAATATAACAACTCTTCCTTATCATTCATCTTTTTAACTTGCTGAGAAATTAGACTCTCTGAGTTTAAAACCTGCCTCTAGCATTACTAGCTATATTTGTGAGCAATTTATATAAAATTTTCTGTGCTCCAGGTTTCTTATCGGTAAAATCAAGATAATATCTATGTTACCATGTTATTGAGAGAATTAACTGAAACAATATGTGTAATATACTAAGGATACAGTAACTTTCCATTCTTTTTATTCCACTCCCAAATCATTAATCATACGAGGGTCATATTCTGGGCCAAAAGCAAATGGAATAAATTAACCCCGACTTCCTTCAAAATCTCCAGAGCATTCCTTATTGGTTTCAAATAAAACCCCCACTGCTTCTCTCCATCCACTATAAAAAGTTGCTTTTCCACACTTACCCTCATCTGAAGATAAGAGCACTTCCACAACTAAATTTCCCACCGTGTCAAGAGTCCCCTTCTCTGGGCCATGGGAGATTTTAGAATCTCTGAATTCTTATTATCCAGTTTATTCATTAAATCACCTACCATGTGTCAGGCCCTGGGCCAGGAACAATAGACACAGCAAGAAACAAGACACACCAGGACCCCGCCCTCACGGAACTTAAGATCCAGTAGAGAAAGCAGGTGTTACACACGCAAGGGCACAAATAAATATACCATTAAGTGCGGGGGGGTGCATTATTCACCGAGATTCTCCCCAGGGAGAGAATGTACTCCTTGCCCAGGGGTGTCTTCTCATTCAGGTAGAAGCAAAGGTTCTTTCACCTGGAAGTCAGCTGGCACCAAAACTTCAGGGAAAAGGGAGCCTATTTCAGAGACAGTGGGGGAGAGAATTTTCCCCTAAGTTAAGAAGGGTCTTTGAGGACACATAGAAAATTTTTTTGATTTAAGGACTGCATCGGCACATGGATCCTTTTTACAGGTGTTTTCCTTCATGCATGATTCCCTGACAGCAACTGATCATCCTTAGGTGAGCGCTAAATCTCAGGGACTTAAAGACATAAGCACAGCCATAAAGAACTAAGAGGAATCTTCCTCTGGGGGAAACTGAGTCCCAGAGAGAAGAACTAATCTGCCCAAAGTGGCGTGGCTACCTAGTAAGAGAACTGAAACTGGAAGAACTCAAGCCTCCTGACCACCATCCAGTTCTGGGCTTCAAGACACCACATTGCCTCCATTGGGAATCGAGGATCCTTACTGCCTTGCACTTATTTCAGACACCAAAACCCACTGGCAAGTTTCCTCTACTCACAATCCTAGAATATGCAAATTTTCTATTTTCAGCCTTTTCAACAAATGCCAGGTGTTTATTGCCAACATATTGAAAATGCATTCTTTAATATTGTAAATAATTTTTAAAAGAAGGATTAAAGATTAGGAGAGGAAAAAGCTGGTAAAATAATTTCCACTTTGAAATGGCAACTTCAACACAATCACTAATCTGTATTCTCTTCTAAAATGCTGTTAAAAGAGAGGCAAAAACTATTAAATCATAAGGAGACAAGGAGAATGAGAGAGAAGGCTACAACAGACATCCACACACCGCTGGAAGATGGCAGGTGGATGGATGAATGGGAGCTGACCTGCCAGAGCAGGGGAAATAAAAAAGTGAGGGACTGCAGAGGGAGAGACAACAAGAGGATAAATCAGAATACAGAGCCTCATAAAGGCTCAGAAGTTGGTTAACGGGGTAATCTCAAGGTTGAGAATAAAAGCAAGTCTTTGCTGGGAGGAGTTAGATGCCCCCCAACCAGTCTCTTTCCAATCCTACAGATCCAGATGACCATCCCTCCCCAGCACCAGCAGGAAGGATTGCAACAGGGTGGTTCTGGACTTGGGGACAGCACACATGGCCCAGGGCAGGGGAGTGAGCTCCTTGAAGGCAGAGGGATGACATGAAGGTGTACAAACTGAACAGGGAGACAGCCCACTCTCATGCCCCCGAAATACTCAGAACCTTGCAAGCCAGGGCTGCACCTTCCTACTCAGGAGACTGGAGGAGTCCTCTCTGAATAAAAGGAAAGACCTATGACACTGACAATTGTGAGTCCCTCCCTCTTCTCCAGCAAAAAATACTTTACAGTGAAACTCCCCAGTCGTCAAGCTGAGGTCCCACTCTAGAACCTCCAAAGAGCCTTCCAGTGCCTCACTCTTCAATAAGCATAGATACTTGAGGTCACTAAGCATTTTATGAAAGCCTCTACCATAATAGGAATTAAATAGAAAAATTATATACACAGAGACAGACAGACAGACAGACAATGGAGGGAGCAGGCAATACTTCTTTTTTTTTTTTTAACAAAACAAACTATTAACATCCTCAGACAGATGAAAAGATAACATGTTCAAGAACAGGATGCTACTGGAAGACAGTCACATTCTGAGAAGTGGAAAGAGCTCTTGGGGATTACAGGTGTTGGTGAAAATTAAAAACACAAAAAAGTGATTGGATGGATAGGGAGCTAAAGTTCAGGAAATTTCCTAGAACCAAATGTTAAAGAATGGAAGCAAGGAGAAGAAAAGTGAGAAATTAGATGGCAAATCCAGACAGTCCTATATCCAATTTCCAGGAAAAAGGAACAAAGAAAATGTAAGGGAGGAAGTAGTTAAAGAAATAATACAAGAAAAGTTTCCCAAACTAAAGCGAGTTTCTAGACGGAAGGAGCCCACCAAGTATGGAAAAAATAAAAATCCACATAGGACATATCATTGTTACATTTCAGAATGGGCAGGATAATGAAAAGATCCTAAAAGTTTCTGGAAAGAGAAAAAAATTAACACATATTCTAGAGAGATTTTTTTTTCTTAATCATCATATAAAGGATCAGGAGTTAGAACTGCATTGGACCTTCCAAGAGCAACAACAGAAGCTAAAAATATCACGGAAAAATGCCTTCAAAAGTATGTGCAGAAATCTTCTCCAACCCAGAATGCTAAAGCCAGTCAAACTCAGTCAAGTGTGAGCACAGAATAAAGACGTCTTCAAAATTTTACCTCCCAAGTACCCTTTATCTCCTTTGTACCCTTCTCAAGAAGCTACTGCTCCCCCCAAAAGAAGGGGGGGGAGAAGGAAATGAAGCAAGGAAGGAGATGCAGTATTCAGGAGACAGGAGGTCTAAATCAGGAGCGAGCAGGATGGTGGGGGCGGAGGGCAGCCGGCAGCCGGCAGCCGCCCTGAGAGCAAGCGGGCAGGTCGGAGCAGGAGGAGGCGGGGTGGGCGCGGGGAGGGGTCCGAACGCGCAGGAAGGGAGCCGATGAGCTGCTCTGTGCTCCTGCCCTGTTGAGAGGGCTTGTACAATTCTGCACGAGTCCGAGGCAAAATTTTGATAGATTCATAGAAAATTTAGTGAAGAAAAATGACTCCAGGAAAAAAAAAACTTTATTGAAAAAAAGGAATGTAATTATTACTGTTTGTGGCTTGATTACTAAGAATATTTATATAACTATAATCCTGTAAAAATGCAGCCCTGGTGTAACTGAAATTGTGAAGTAATTACGGGATGCAGGAGGGGAAAACAGGTGTCTATTGTGGGGGCAGATTGTGAGAAAGCTGAAATTCTCTTCTCCTACTAGGAGGTCAACCCAGGATGTCTTAAATGGAAACAACAATAAATAATAAGCAAATTGCTTGGAAACATGAAGGTAAATAGCTAATGAAAAAGCCAAGAGTTGCAAACGCCCCAGCTTGTTTGGAGGTGAGGGGAGGTGGACTTGGAATTCTTTTCGTTCTGAGCCCTGTCACACTGTTTGACCCTTTATTTCAGTATTACTTTTTTTCAATGGGGCAAGAACAGAAGGGAAACAGTGGTGGAAGGAGAGGAGACGTCCTACAATGACGCCCTGGGGATAAGGAAGCGGGGGGAGCCTTTGGAGAGAAAATGGAGCAGAGGGGGGTGTGATGGGCAGGTGACAGCGCAGGCTTCAGCATCAGGCGGAGACAATAAAGGCCCAGGCACTTGGGAGGAAGCGTAAGGAAGGCTGCCCTACTGTGCTGGACACCAGATACGGACACAACATTGTAAACCAACCGTATTTCAATCAATCAATAAATATATATATGTAATAAAAAGCAAGGAAGGAAGGGAGGCAGGCAGGAAGGCTTCCGAGAAAGGGTGTGCAGCCCAGTACAGGTGACTTAGAGCGCTTTCCCCCACAAGCATCCCAGCCTCCCCACATCCCAGGGACCTGGCCCAGGAAAGCACATGCTGTCGAGTCAGAAAGGCGGGACTTCAGGGCCGAGGAGCAAACATGGAGGAAGCACTCTGAACATGGCCACCGTCCTCCACACGGCAAAATGAACTCACGCCATCCCCCGAAACCTCAGAGAAGGGGGCCCTCGAGCTTTACAGCGCAGCGCCCACGGGGGATAATGTCAGTCGTATTGAAGGTCTGCCCTGATTTTAGTGAATGGGAAATTTTGTAGAGTTTTCCTAGGTTTACTTTGACCACATTCTCCAACCAAATCTTCCCATAAAAGTTAAAGTCTCTCCACTGCAAATTCACTTACAAAGGGGTTTTCCAAAACGTGTTGTTCACATCTTTGCACTTCCCTCTTGCTCCTACTGCCCAGAATCCCTTCTTCTCCTCCGCCTCCATCTGGCTGGTTGGGCCTCACTGTGACGACTGACTTCTCAAACATCAGCTTCCTCCAGGAAGCCACCCTGGACTACTTCTTGGGTTCCATTCCCCATCCAAATGGACAAATTGGCTTTCCTCTGTGCACTGTGTATAGTTCTACCTTTACACTCAGCCCATGGGAGGAGAATTACCCCCTGGCCATCTGCCTCCTCTGCCGTGTCACCTCCCTGGCAGAACGGTGCGTTTCAGAGCTTAGGAGCCTAATCTGATTACCTCTGGAGCCTGGGAAGCACCAGCAGCAAATGGACTAGCCCGGAAGGCAGCAGTCCCAGGAGGTGGCTGGCTGAGACCTGAAGAACGGAACTTGCCCCTGGGTGCAGAATGAATGAGAACAGGGGCCTCTCGCAGAGACAAAGGGCTTGGCGAGCAGAGGCCCGGCTCGGCGTGAGCCCCGTTTACCTGTCGCTTGGTGCCCTGCGCAGGCACAGTGCTCGCCAACTGGGTGACTCTGGGCACCTCCTCTCAATTCAGCTTTCCCAGCGGTGAAGTGAGGCCAGCCCGCCCCACCTGGTAAGGGCGTGTGTGAGATTATCAGGGGTGGCGCATGAGAAACACTCGGCTTAGGTGCCTAGGAGTCCCATGGCTGGTGGACATAGTGTGATGATCATTTACAACAAGGTATCGGGGAGGCACTGGGGGCTTTTAGGCCACTTAATGGCATTTGTGCGTCTGACAGGTTCCCGGGCAGCCAGCAGGGTGGATGGATGGAATGGGGAAAAGCGGAGGCCGAGGAAGGAATGCGGAGGCTTTTACCAATGACTCAAAGAAAGCTAGAGGGCCCGGTCAAAGCAGAGTGGAATCAAGGGCCGGACCACCGGAAACATGTTCTCTGCACATCCTTCGGCATCCTGTCCCCTGCTCTGCACACCTGCCTCCCTGCAGCGCCACCCACAGAAATCGTCAGGAGCCGGGGCAGAAAGGCGGGCTCCGAGGACTGGAGTCAAAGCAATTAAGCATGTAACAATGCATTAAAATGGAAGGGCTGGTCAGGGGAGAGGAAAAACACAGTAACCTTCCCCAGGGGGCCCGAAGGCCCTCACCTGCCTCCATAATCCCCCGGAAACCCCTGCAATCCACATGTCCAAACGGGGAGGTTTAAACGGGAATGAAACCCCATCCGATGCACACGTGCTCACAGACAGGCAGTATGTTTTGGGGGGGGCGGGTGCCAGACCGAGCGCGTCCAG